GTGTGTGTGTACCTCTATAACAGAGAGCAGTATCTCTGGAGCGCTGGAGCCCAGAGCCATGAGCGTCAGATTGGACACTGTTTCATTCCAGATCCGAACCGTCATCAGTGACGTTTCCCCGTTAGGCATAGTGATGGTCACCTCCTTCTCCTGTTGGCCCAAACACACAATTTGTGTTACCGAGCTTGATGTAAATAATCTGGACTACGTAGAAGGATGAAGATGTAAGCTGTCCCACCCTAGGCTGAACAGAGAGTTAGGAAGATGCCAGTCCACGGCTGTGTAAACCTCCACATCCTTATTGGATTATTTATTCTTCTTCATCCACCAAGTAGTCATAGATACACTGTTCATACCTCAGAAGAAGCGGCTCGTTCATGCACTGTTTGCTTCTATTCAGATTTTTTAAATTAGACACTGAATGGAGAGACTCGTTCTCTTTTCTGCTGTCACTCCTCTTCCTTTAGGCAGATTTTCACGGTACCTTTTACAGTTTTTCAGTTGTGGTCAAAACTGTCCAGAGAAATCTGTCAAATCTCTCCCCGTTCATGTACACTGGGAAGCTAAAGTGAGGTTAGAGGCAGACATGCAGAAAATCTCGTCTGAAATTTTGGTGTTTAACCTGCCGCTGTGACCACAATTTTCACCCTACAGCCATCATTTTACCTGCAAAACGTAGCTACACTTGTTTGCTTTTCAAAAAGCCACGCCTCAAAGCCCACACATGCATACTTTTTGAACTACAGCCATTTGTTTCAGAGGAATGCCATCATGAGCTTTCATTCATGAGTTTCCAACCAGTCATGGAGAGAAAGAAAAAATCTTTTTTAACTTGCTCTCCTCGACACAGTCTGCTCAGGCAAACTGCATGGAGTGCGAGGAGTGGACCTGGGTGTGGACATACTAAAAGTCAAACATAACAGATGATGAGCGGTTTATTTAGGCAGACAAAACAGTACAAAATAAAAGGACGAAAACAACATAAAACTAAACAATGACCTACACTGGGTAAACTAGAAAGGAAACAAGAACCAAGAAAAATCTTGGGGAACAGAAAACAAACAAGAAAAACTCTAAACATGGCAAAGTGATATGGAAACCTGAAAGCACGACATGGCGTGGAAAAAACGCAGACGATCTAGCAAGGAGTGACTGAAAACACACAGGAGGATAATGATGGGAGTGGGAACACATGAGGAAACGGCTGACACACGTGAACATAACGACATCACAGGCGAAACGTAAAGCTAAACACACTGAACACAAGAACACAGGACCTCTTCAAAATAAAACAGGAAACATAATGAAACAGACATGACAACATGAACTTGACAACAAAACAGATGCAGACATGAAACACAAAGGACCAGGGAGACTTAACACAGGGGTTGAAAACACAAGGGGAACTACTAAACAAACGAA